CTTCCGTAGTTTGCTGCTAGAATCAAAGATAAAACATTAAAAATTCAAGAAAGTTTTACTCCTTAACGAGAAAAAAAATAGGATGCTTCAGGTTACTGGACATTTGAAGAAATCCCCCCTAAGAAGTTTCCTAAAGAGCAGATTAGAGCTTCAGGCAGGGCGGTCTGAGCTGGACCACAGCACAGCAGCTGTCTAATGCCCCATTTACACCAGTCCTCTGAAACCCATCCATGCCGAGTTTAGACCAACCATCTGGGGTTTTGGGTCTCCCGGCGCTCGCCTCAGTACTCTAGGGGGGCGGGTCTTCGGCTCTTCACAACCACTATTGAGCATTTTTCCTTTGGATAAAGTGCACTCTCACATTTAACTACAGCTGCTTGGCTCCAGGTACTTAGAGATTCACTTCCATACAGAAAGCCCTTATTCTGATCTTCAGCTACCACAGTATACATGTCAGATTAAATAATACTACTTATACTTCAGCGATAGTATCTAGGTTTTACTTTATTGTATCTCTAATACTATATCTGTTGGTTGTGCTGTTCTTTTTCCATCTTTTTGCAGGTGATGAAGCAGACTGAAGATGTTTTATCATTATCTCCCTTGTATCTCCTCTTCCTTTTTTATCTTTTCTCCTTTTTCCAGTTTTTCTTTTCCTGTTCTTCTATATTTGCAGTGTCCATATAATCTGTAAAACTCCCTGCATAATTATAATAAAGCTATTTATATGCATAAATCAAGGGGAACACTATGGCGATAGCCGTACTGCTCCACTGGTGAAAGTAAAATATGTTGGGCTCTTTCTGGCGTCAAGACAATTATTCTTATTGCCACATTGCCAGACAGGACACTGTAAAAAATAAAAAAAACGGACTTGTTCCAGCAGAATGACTTCCCTCTGCTTTAATACTTTTTTGTTTTTGTTCTGTTTTATTTAAAGCTGTAAATGGGATCATCTCGCTAATGTTTAAAATGGTATTTTACTGATACAATCCTTCTAAAATGGTCTTTAAATTGATGTTTATTTATTTTAATGAGACAAAAAAACAAAATGACCAAACTTTTATTTATTATTCTTTATTCGGTTGGTGCTCCAACAAAACAATTTAAAAAGATGAAGCTCAGTATGGCTTCTACTTGGAAGCTGAAAGGAGACGTTTTGCAGCCACCTGCAGCAGCCTCAGGAGCTCCTGAACGTAACTCGTCTCTGATTTACTTCCACAGGACCACTCGGAGGTCCCGATCGGCGCAGCTGCCACCATGGCCCACGAGATCGGCCACAACGTGGGCATGAGCCACGACCATGACGGCTGCTGTGTGGAGGCCACTGCAGAGCAGGGAGGCTGCGTCATGGCCGCTGCCACCGGGTGAGTGCCGGGCAGTTTTTATCCAACCGCGATGCAGCCGTGTTTGTTAACGCCATTTATTGATGCTGGACACCAGGCATCCATTCCCGCGGGTCTTTAGCCGCTGCAGCAAGCGGGACTTGGACAACTACTTCCAGAAGGGAGGGGGGATGTGCCTCTTCAACATGCCCAACATGAAGGACCTGGTGGGAGGCAAGAAGTGCGGAAACGGCTTCGTGGAGGAGGGAGAAGAGTGCGACTGCGGGGAACCTGATGTGAGTCCATCATTTCTGTTATCTGGGATCATTTTAGGCCCAAAAACCTCACATTGTGATGATCTGCCCTGATAGCTGGCCTTAACTTTCACTCACCTAACTCTGCCCGGTCTCTAGTTATCACTCATCTCCTCTCAACTTTGTTAATTGTTTTTTCAATTACGCATTAAATCGGTAAATGGAC